AACTATAGAGATACAGGAACAATCTAACGCATTTTTTCTGATACGAAACATCTTTATAATCGAGCTTATGACGTTTTAAAGACATATTTTATACTCACTGCGCAGTTAGACCCAGTAAACAGTAGCATTATTGTCAGCAGATTTAAAGTTGAAACTCGGGACATTATGCTTGAATCCCTAGCAATGGCCGGTACAATGTTGCATTATACTAGTATATGCAACCACAACAATACTTGTTTTTACATGTGCCACGTGAGGTCATAGTCCGTGTTGGGTCACCCTTCATGTACCCGCCGGGTTATTATTTTGTCTAGTCATAGGAGTACCATGGTGTAATATTTTAGACCACGTTTCGAGAAATTGGTTGTTGTAAGAGACAATAAAAAATGAAAGTAATAGTATTTCGCACTATACTAGAATAACTTGCCATGCACAGTTCCTTTAAGTCACATCCTCTAGTGACGAAGAGCTGTGATGTAAGTAGGTTAAAAACAGCCCATTCAGATCGGTTGTATTGTTTTGATGTATGATCGTCTGTCAATAAAGGGACGTTTTTACAGATTTTCCTTTTTTTTTTAAGATTCTATATATATAATCTTTCTTGTTGAGATTTTTTTTGTCATCAAATATAGTACTATATAGCAATGAAAGTTAAACAGATATATATGTACATTTAAACAACTGGTTAATGTTGGCGTGCAAATAAGAAACCGCGGACATTGTTGTCTGCAAGCGTAAGGACAACTTTTCTCGGAATCGAGAAGCACTCGCTTTTGACGGTAATTGGTATGAATAGCTAAATAACAAACTGAATACATCAGTACGACTTGTCAATGCTGCCATTGTACAGTAAATACGCCCCTAGCAACGACTGGGACGTTCCATTATTATAACAGTACAACCGACCACAAAAATAGTACACGGTGCACTCATGGTTTTGATTCACATTGTCTGTGTAGAAGCACAATGTCCAATTTTCAGTCATCCTTCAGGCTCGATGATAAATCTAATCTACTGCTCGATATTCAAACAATACTATTTAGCTATAACCCTTATAGAAATGCCCATATTTGGCTCTTACACAAAATCCACATAGTCCCAGACAATAGCTGCGGTTTACTTGGCAAAATGTCAACAATTGCTACATAAAATGGCCAACACTGTCGTAGGACATTTTTTTTTTAAATTGCAAGCAATAATAAACGTCATTGGCTTCCATTAAACAGATCTTCTATGACTTTTACACACAACCCAGGTAATCGAACTTCTGTTCGCAAATAATGGCCAAACATACACAAAATTCACGATCACTGGCAATTAGGGTGATTATTATTTATGTTGTTTAACGCTCTGATCTAGTTGGTTAATTATAAAATATGCTAATTTTTTCACCCCTGGCTATTTGAGAGGTCAAATGTCGTGAATGATTTTGATTTGGATGATTTATCCAGAATGTTCCCCCAGAAATCTTACATAACAACATTTATTTTAGAAGAAAATATCTTCATAATCGAGCTCATGACCTTATTTGAAGACATCCATTATGCTTACCTTCACAGTTAGACCACATAAACAGTAACAACATTGTTACCAAGCTAATAGAAGTTGAAACCCGAGACATTATGCTCACATACAGAGACAAAAGGACAATTTTTCGTCGAAAAATGAAGACATGCGCATTTGGGCAGTGGCGGATCCAGAGGGGGGGGCATAGCCCCTACCAAACGCATGACGATTC